GTTGGGGTTCGAAGAGTACGTGGAGCCAATGAAGGTATACCTGCAGATCGAGGTCCAGGGACATGGAGGGGGAGAAGAGCGCCATGGCGGGGCGGCAGGAAAAGGACGGCAGCGGTAATGGAAGAAGAAGAAATGACGTGGAAGGACCATTCTGCCCTCAATGATAAATAATTTAAAATGGGTTATCTTTTTCCGGCGAAATTTGGCCGGAGGATCAAATCTGCTAAAAAAATCATAGTTAAAGGACTAAATTGTTAGTTTTAAAAGTCACAGACCGAAATTAACACGCCCCCTATAGTCATAGGACCAAAAGTGTAATTTGCACTTTTCCAAATGCATTTGGCATTTAAAAAAGTGTAAATTCAAAAATATGGTGTATTTGTGAGAATTTAAAATAATGTCAAACGCATTTGGAAGATTTGTTTGACACTATTTAATTTTTCAACAATAGCCTGAAAATGATTTTGAAATTAAGTGAAACTAGTATTTGCCCCGTGCGATGCATGGACAAAAATTTATAAGTATTGTTGTAATGTTATGATACAAAGCAGAATTAATTTTATTAAAAATTTAAGTATAGTTATACATTGTAATATTTAAATGTTAAGAAAATATATGACAAAAATGCATTCATATTGCTAACCTCATTGCAATAATGATCTACAAAGTTAAACGGACAGAGAAAAACCCGGACCACCTCGTAGTTTACACACAAAAAATAATGATCTTACAAATCTATTAATATGCATTCACACTTAGGTGGGACAAATCTCGCATTATTTTGAATAAATTGCCACCTTGGCTCCTTTCAAAAAAAAAAAAAAAGGTGGGAATATATTTTCCCTACTTAATTTTATTTTACCTAACTTTCTTTGTAAATAAATTATTAAAAAACTAATCAAAATTACAAACTATTAAAAGTTAGTGTATATATATATATATATATATATATATATATATATATATATAAATCAAAATTGATAGATAATACTCGTAGAAATTAATTCATAATTACATGAATTTATAAATTTGTACAAATTTATAAAAAAAATGCGTACAAATTTATAAATTCATGTAATTAATGATTAATTTCTACAGTATTATCTATCAATTTTGATTTATATATATATAATATATATATATATATATATATATATAATATGATTATGAAGTTCCTAAACCCTTGATATTCCATAACTCTTAAATGCATCAAATGGGGGGAAAAAATTTTCACCTTGATTATGCTATATTATATATAGAGATATATGTGTAATGCATTTCTTACCAAAAACATTTTTCAAACTAATTTCGTCTATTTTTCTACAAAATTTAAAATATGTCCACTTTTATTAGGTCACTCACTTTTCGTCCATTTCAGTCATAGCCTTTTTCATCAATAGTTATGGCCATTGACCCGGGTCCACCTTACAAAGTGGAATCCGAGTCAAAACACACCATTTATATAGTGAATATTCACAATTTAAAATTTGAACATTCAGTATGTAAATTATGAACATTTAGTATATAAAATTGTGAACATTTAGTATATAATTGTAAATATTCAATATGTAAATTGTGAATATTTAGTATATAAAAATTGTGAACATTCAATATATAAATTATGTATTTTTTTACTCGGGTCCATAATTGCAATGTGGACCCGGGTCCACAGAATAATTTGCCCTTTGTCATGTGTCGTTCTAAGAAAATTATTGGACTATTCACCCAATAGGGACCAAACACTTGTATCCAATGAAACTCATAATCAAATGCTTAGTAATTGAAATGAGTATTAATTAAAGGGAAATAATACTTTTGGTCTATGAATTGTCTCACTATTGAAAATTTGTTCAATGTAAGTTAATTTAAGTAAATTTAGCCCTAAATTGTTCATAATGTTTGCACTTTTAGTCATTATAGTGTTATATAATTATCAACGTCATTAGCAAACTCTTTTTTATGATGTTATTTTATGTCATTTAACATTAATATCCATGGTTAAAGTTTCATTTCTCTCCATATGAATGTCATTTTTAACAGTGGATATTGATTATAAATGATAAAAATAACCTCATATTTTGACAATTATATAACACTATGATTGAAAGTGCAACATTATTATGAACAATTAAGGGGTTAAATTTGTTTAAATTAACTTTAAGAACTAAATTTCTAAAAGTAAAACAATTTAGGGGTCAAAAGTGTTATTTTCCCTTTAATTAATTAGCACTCATCTTTGAAATGGTGAGCCTTTCAGCAGTTTTAGTAAAGGCTTGGATTATATTTTCTAGTGCTTTCCTGCTTGATCATGATGATCTTTTACATTTATGGTACCTTTTTGTTGAGAATGAAGGACTTCATTGTAAGTTGTTACGCCTCATAAAGCTTTTGAATTTCTAACAAACAAAGCAAATTGTTTGTCAATAAAAATCATTATTGAAATCTACTAACCTGAAGACGTTGATGGTTGATTGGCGATTAGTGTCGTAGTTTTTGCGGTTCATCAACTTTGTTTTCATCTTTGTTAGTTCTTTATCTCAAACTCGTATGCTTTAAGTTCTTGAAGAACTAGACAATTGGACATTACCTATAAATCTCCGTGGTCACGCATGAAGTGACCTTCATCTCCTTAGATTTAGGCAAGCCTCTCAAAATCTTTAGGTTGATATCCTTTTGACTTATGTTATGGTTAAAGATCCATAATCTCACTGAGTATCTTCATGTATATGATCTCCCGTTTCAATTAACACTTTGTACTAGGGTTATCTTGAAGTCTTCGAACTTCTTCGTGGCAATTGGCATACTTCTCTTATTTGTCTCTTCTCCCAATATGCAAAAGGAATTTCCATACCTGCATGGCAAACACACACTTGCGTATTCTATGAAATATAGTGTTATATACAGCCTTGAAGAATATATTTTTTGCTATGTTGTCAATGTTATTCCTCTTCTAGTTCTCCATCATCCATTTGTCACATGGCTTTGGAACATACATAGGAGTGTCAATGTTTTGTAGAGTGGCTACATTGACCTTAAGAATCTCCATTGGTCCACATGTTATCACCTCCCACATTTCGTCATTGCGAGCTAATAGATGTGTTTGTATTGGTATTTTTTAATCATCAAATTTGTCAGTGCTAAACATAAGATGCTTAGACAACGAACCTTTCATTTTTCAAGAAAAAATATATACCAACTAAAATATTATTATTTTTTGAATAGAGGTCCACCTAGCAGTCAGATTGTTGACCCAAAATAGGCAACTACTCTAACCAGAATGGTGTTTGAACAAGCCTAGAGGGGAGTGGAGGTGTGAATATACTTGTTATATTTTGAAAACTTTTGTTTGTGAATAGAGGTGTTGTAAACATGAGTTTCATGCAACGAAAATAATGTTATACCCCTTTTAAGTTTTGATGTCACGTTTATCTTGTTAATAAAATTTGGTTAGAAGATGAATAATGAAAACAATAAAGTAAGTAAAGAGATACAATAATTTTTTTAGTGGTTCAACCAACTCGGCCTAATTCACTATTCTCCTATAATTCCTTAGGAGGTTCCACTAGTACTTATCACCCCAAATACAAGTGGAGAGAACTTGTGCTTTGATCACAAAGCCAGCCACAACCTTAGATTTTTCTCAAGTGTTCAACTTGTTACTCATGCTCTTTTTATTTTTCCGTTTAGAGTTTGAATATTTGAATACAAAAGAATGTTCTTCTCTAACTGTTGTAGACTTGTAGTCTTAGCGTTTAGTAGTCTTGAATTTGCCAAAGTCTTGAATCTTGATCTGGAATTGATCGTAGTAGTCTCTCATTTGTCAGCTAGGTTGCTCTTGAATGTAGTTTACACTAGTAAGAATTTATCTAAAAAATGTAGTATGTCATTCAACTTGAACTGATGTATTTATATACTCATTTCAATTTGTTTATTGGAAGGAAATAAACTTCAAATGGGTAGTGTCATTATCCATTGTGAAATGGCTAGTGGTTGTGCATTTGGTTGTTCATGTTAGAACTTTCCAACCGTTGCATGACTTTTAGTGCATGAATTTTTGACGTTTTATCTTGCATTATGTCTTCGCTATTTAAGGAAAATCATCTTCGATATATGTACATAAGCATATTGAAACCTTAACAACATTATATTGTTTACCTTGTTGTGAGAATATACTCAATCACTATATTGTCTGGTTATGCGAATTGTAATGTGACTTCACCGAATGATGACTAGGTCACTTCTCGATTTGGACTATTCGGTGTCTGCTTGACTTTGATTGTAGTCGCCTTTTCGAACAACATTATGATTTGAGTATTTGACTTTAAGTTAACCCAATTACTATCTGGTTGATTTACCTCCTGGTTCCAAATGAACCATCTGGTTCTCATACTATTTAGTCTTGTACCTTCTGGTCATCAACTTTTGGACTCTTCAATCTTTTACTTTTCGGTTGTGCACCATCCGGTTGTTGACTTCCTACACCTTTACTATTTGGTTCTTTAAACTATCCGGTTAGTTCTTGAACTACTATCCAGTTAATTTACTTTTTCGGGTAGTATAATTCATTCATAAGTTGAACCTTTTGAATGATACACCAAGTATAAATCATAAGTCTAAAAATTGTAAAAGAGTTATGATTTTGAAAATCTAATTTTATAGGGAATAATTTTTTTGGTATAATTGAAATCTAATATACCAAGACTATGTGGTCTGATGGTACCCGGGTTGGACTTGGTTCTTTGTTACTACAATGTAATAGAGCCAGTACTATTAAAAAAAAAAAGAAATCTAATATAAATATTTTCTAACACTTTTGTTTAAAATATTTTTTTGGTTGTTGTTGTTGATATGAGTCAATAATAAGTATTTATGTTAACAAATAAATATGGGTAAAAATTATAAAAGGAAAAAAAAAAAAACACTAAAAAGCATAACTTTGAGCTTTTGCCAGGAAAAGGGTTAAAAATTAAAATCCCTAGATCTCCATTGTTTTTTTACAGAGCAGTGTTCGTTTTCTTTTCCGCCAAAAATAAAAGAAGAAAGAACAATGGTAGCAGTGGTGCAAGTTCAAGCAGCGACTTCCTAAACAATGCCGAGGCAGCGACGATGAAGCAACTAGGGTTAGTGGCAGCAGCACAGCTTCTCCATAACAACGACCTTCTTCTCCGGTGAAGCATCACACAGTTTGAACTCTTTACTGTTTTATTGAGAAATAACTTGGAGGAGGCGCGAAGAGGAGAAGGGATGGCGCGGACGAAAGAAGGTTGAGGAAATGAAACCTGGACAAGGAAATAACTTGGGGCGAGGGATTTCGCCTTTTGTGGGCAAGGAAATGAAACCTGAATGGAGCTCGGTAATCAATTTTGTCATTCCTTAGGTATTTCATCGCCATTGCTTGAGTTTTTAAAATGGAAACCAAAAACCACTTTAACCTTTGATTCCGATTGGCATCTTCAAACGTGGTGAACCACCACGCCCCGTGTTTGAGCTCTTTCACCGCCGAACAGCCACCATTATCGCCGCCTTCCACGACCCTATTCAGCAATTTGTCACGTTGCATGTTCATAGTTTATCCTCTTTACCACCTTGCGACGCTGACTATCATTGCTTCTCGCCAGCGGAACAAGAATATGGAAAAACAGGGCACTCCATTTTAGGTCCGTATTTCACTTCCCTCTGAACATTTTCTGATTAGTGCATTATGTTGCTTTTTTTCTTTGTTTATCTATATCTATTTATCTTTGCATAAGCTCTTCCCATTGCAAATGTAGATACCTTTTTTATGGTGATTTTTATATAATTTGCTTTGGCAATTGTTTTTGCTGATGGAAACTTTAAAGGTTTTAGGTTTATAGAAATGCATAATTAGGATATCTTCTATCTTTTAGCTCATTCATAGCTTAAATGATTGACCCTTTTCCCCTGTTCTTCTCTTTTGTTGCCATAGTTAAAATTTAAATTAGAGTAGAGTTTTTTTTGGGGAAATTAGATTGCACTATACTCCATTTCATGGCAGAAGTAGTAACAAAATGCAGATGTCTAGTGATTGTTTAACATTCTGGGATAATTGAATGTGGATAGCTGAACTAATATTGAATAGTCGCAAGTGTTCAGAACAGTTGCCAGTTGAAATTCTCTTTTTATAGTTATAACTCAATTGCTCTGTTGCTGACTTAGACTCTCCTTGGTTTAGTGGGTAGTGAATTTAATATGGTTCTCTTCATCTTTTTTTGGTTTGTGTTTTTTTTTTGGGATCATATACCTTTTATTTCACCATTAATTTACTGAAGTGTTTTCGTGGTCTTTTCTTCCTGTGGCATTGGCTGCTATAAACTGTCTACTCTTTATTCACACTTTATTATATTCTTTTTTATGAATGAAAATTCAAAAAACATGTTTTTATGTGTAGGAATTTGCCCGCCTAAGCTATTAATGAATAATGATGCTCCCATGCTTAACAACTTCAGGAAGGCTTACCTTTTACAGTGAATTTACAATTTTCTTCACTGGGTGTGAACCATATAGTTTTCTTAGCAGTAAACCAAGCCAAATTGCACTGGCATTTGAGTAAAACCAATTTCGATGCAAAGTGTTAGAATTTTCAAGAGCCATTATAAATGTTTGTCAGATTTTGAGGTTTTCAATGGATAATAGCTGATCTTGTCAAAGCAACCCCAGTTTACCCTAATAAGATTAAATAGTACTGATGCTAGCTGCACCGCTTTTCCCAATGCACATACTACAACAGCCAGCAATGCAGAAGTCAAATTATAATGCTAAACTTAAGCATAGAAAGCCGCAGCAGCAGATGTTGGAGGCTGCTCAGGAGATTGCCATTTATATTCATCGGTTTCACAATCTTGACCTGTTCCAGCAAGGGTATGTAACTCACTATTTTCTGTACTTATTTCTATTTTAACTTGCTCACATTGAAAATCAATATTGTCACACTTGCTCTGTCTTTGATGCATATTTAGATGGTATCAGATTAAGATTACAATGAGATGGGAGGATGGCATTTCTGATTCAGTTGGAACTCCATCACGAGTTGTTCAGTATGAAGGTAAATTCTTAGAGACTTGCTCTATATTTTTTAAAGAATAAATCCAATTACATGTATCCAAATGACTTGGTGTATTAGTTCATGCTTAATTTGACAAGCTAATCATGAAGCTTTTGATATATACAGTTACTGGAATTTAAAAATACAGTGAGTTTGATACAGACCAAGGGATTAAAAATGAAATGTGCTAAGGTCAATTGATTATCATTTCTGAATCTTCATAAATCTAGAAATCATGCAGTTTTTTAACGGACTTAGCACATATGATATATTGATATTAAGGATTTTTTTGGTCTCTGATGATCTATTGGCCTCTTTTATATTCTTTTAGCAAATGAACAGTCCTTTTAGTGATCAATGGAATTCTAGGATGTGTATTTGCCTAAATTTTTAGTGGCTATGAACTTTCCGCCTTCTTTGCCCTCGCATATGCACACACACACACACACAAACACATATAGAGAGTGCACATAGCATAGCATTGCACATAGCATTGCATAAGTAACAGGCTTGAACTTATACTAATATTGACTATGATCTGGAAATAGTAACATCTTTTCTAACATGCAGCTCCTGACTCCAGTTCTGATAATGTATATGGAGTGTGGAGGATTGATGACAAAGACCACAGTTTCTACACACCACCTTTCAGAATAAGATATGCAAGGCAGGATATCCTTCTCTTATTGATGGTCTCTTTCAACTTATCTCTTGCCGAATATGAGGTAGTTGCTTCTCCCCTTATTTTCTTTCCTTCACACATCTCTTATTAGCTATCAGAGAAATATATAGGCAATTAGCTAAGTAGATCTGCTTCTTTACACTTTATCTGATCCTACATCCTAGAGTTTTGTGGAAAAAGAGCAAAATCTGAGAAATAAGAAGGTCGTTGCTATTTGGACGCTGAATAAAATAGGAGAAGGAAAAGTTTGTATTGAAAAAACAGTGTGTTGTAAAAATCGGACTAGGTTGCTGCTAGGGCGAAGGGAAGAATGGGAAAGTTGGCCTTTTGTGCACTCGGCTAACTCAGCCTCTATATATATATGTATATATATAATTTTTTTTTTTTTCGTTTGTATGTTTTAAGGTTAGAATATCATGTGTAATCAGTGTTGTAGAAGGCGCTAGGCACTCATTGCACTAGGCACTGCCTAGGCGGATGCCTAAATAAAAAAAAAAAGTAGTGTTGCAATCCACAATTGCACATAATTGATAACAGTGTTGCCCCATATCACATACACTGCCTTGTGTTGTGAAGATTTGAAGGCTTAAAAGGAATAAAAGCACTTTAAAGCAATATAAAGCAACATATACCTCTTATAAATTCACAATATAAAGCAAAGACAAAAAAAGAAAAATTGAATCTGTACATGGCGTGATGCTGATGAGCTGATTAGCTGGTGGTGGTGATGGTAAGCTGCAGAACTATTGGCGACGACTTCCAAAGGCGATGAGCTAATGATCAATCGGCTTTGAAGCAATCTGAAGCTAAGCTCCTTCACCAGACAATGATCAACTGGCTTCGAAGTTTGAAGCTACTGGTAGTACTGGGCGATGTGCAAGAGGCAATAAGCTGATGATTGTCGATGACAATGAGTTGTGGGGCTGCGGGCTGAGGGAGTGAGGTGCAAATGTGCGATCGTCGATTTCTTCTTGATTTCCTTCCCTTTTTCGCAGCAATTTGCTTAGCTACTTAGAGTTTTGGTTTGTTTTGCTCAAAAGTATGTCATTTTGAGCGAAACAAACCGATAAAAAAATTTTAATCAGCCAATTTTGCTGATTTGGCTGCCTATTTCAACTAGTCGGACGTTCGCCTACCATATGCCTAACATGGAAATCCTCTCGGCCTAGGGGCACCTAGTGCCTATACGGTGTTTAGGTGGACGCCTAGGCTGATTTTTTTGCAACACTAGTGTTATCGGACATTTATATTTTATGGGAGGAATACTTGCTAGAAGTTTAAAGAACCAGAATGCCATATGCAAAAAAAATCAATATGTTTTGTTATGTCTTTTTAGTTTGGCACCTAGGCGCCCATCAAACACCTGAGGGGCGCCTAATGGTTTTTAGAACATTGAGAAAAAACTTGAATTACAATGGAGTATGTGCACTAATATATATACAACTAAAATAGACCCTTAGACTACCTGCTCTAGCTTAGTGAGAAGAATTAACCGGATGATTGGATAGTAATTGTACAATCCTAAGACTATACCCCCTCAAGTTTGAAGCGTATATCATAACTGCCAAGCGTTTTACAAATGCAGTTAATCCTAGGAAACTGGTCATTTAAGCGAACAAAAGATGTAATAATTTCTCTTGAATAAAATGACAGTTGACTTCAATGTGCTTTGTTCTCTCATGGGAGAGTGGGTTGCATGTGATATGTTGTTGCCTGTTTGTCACAAATAAGCTTTATAGGTCCTAACTCACATAACTTAAACTCTGGGTCTAGCAGTAAAAAGTAAAGCACCCCAAATAATTTCTCATGATCAACTGTTTGTTCTGTGGTTGACTGGTTGTTCTACCAATTAGTATGTAGCTGATGACTTAAGTTATTAAACTCTGGATTTTCTTGGGGAGGTTCTTCATACTTACACCAGTTTTCTTCAAATTGACCAACTCTTGAACAACAAAGTAAGAACGAGAAATATCATTAGCATATAATGACTTTGCTTGGCTCTAGACAGAGATGCACGCTTTGAATGGTCTGAGAAGAAGCACTAACTCTGAAGAATGAGATTACAGAATAAGAATGATAAATATCATTAACATATAATGACTTGGTTTGATTTTGGATGGAAAGGCATGCTTTGAATGATCTGAAAAGAATCACTTACTCTCGAGAAAGAGACTACCTTACTAGACTACACAACTACACATCAACATTCTACCAAATTGCCTTTTTATTTACTTGAATATCATCAACTTTTTTATTCAAGTGATCAAATGATCAATAAACCTTGGCCCCATAAACTACAATTCAATTACTGCAGACCAAGATTTATAATTATGTACCAACAAAGCTTCTTGGAGGTAATGAATGGATTTCCAAATAGATTAAAAAGTAAGAACAAATACAGTAGTGGGAGCCAGACACAGGAATATTGGAGCTAGAGACATACAATGGAGCCTGAATTGTTGTCGGATGTCCCCTTGTTTCCCGAAAAACATCTGGCCTCACAAACAAGGTAAAATATGTTGAGAAAGCCATCTGGGAAAGTAACTTGGGAAGGTCACAAGAGAAGGATTCACATGGTGTCACATCCGGGTGCATGGTGACAGAGGGGCAGCATGTGAAAGTTTGTGTGCCAACTCTGGTGATCATGACATGTTAGGTTATGATTGCTTGAGGTTACTAAGCTCCCTAGCAACACGAGATTAATTGAAGATGTTAGAGGAAAAGGGTGTTAGTTGAGAGGATCTTTCTTAGCCTTAGGTTTAGGTGTTTGAAATCTATGGCTAGGATTAGCTCTTGTCTTGTATAAATAGCTCTACACTTCATTGTACATCTACACAGAACATATAGAAATATACAAGTTGAGTTCATTGTTTAACATGGTATCAAAGCGAGATTGAGGTGACTGGGTAGTGGGCTTTGGTCTGAAAGAGGAGGCGACGCCGTCGGGAGAGGCGGAGCAGCCATCGGAGTTCTCACGTGCCGGCGCAGTCCTAGGGTTCCGACGCCACGTGCTGGCGCGTGCGCACTGTTCCGGCACCTTCTTTGGTCGAGGTTGGTACCGGCGGGCTCAGGCAGCAGAGTTCGCTGGAGAGAAGCTTCCAAGATCTGTTGTGCTCGCCGGGAAGAGGCAGAGGTCGCCGGAGGGAGCTGCGCGTCGGAGGAACTGCTGCTGGTCGAGAGAGATGGAGGGAAATTAGCAAGAGAGAGGGACAGCCGAGAGAGATGGTAGGGGAGGTCCACGAAGCTGGGTGGTCTCATGGTTACAAAATAGAGTGGCATGGAGGTCTAGTTGATGAATGCTTTTGGAAATTGATTGGAAGCATAATGTGTGGTTAGGTTTGTGCTGCTGACGAGGAATAATTAGGCAGTAGGTTCTTTTGTTTATCGTATTAATAAGTCATGAGCTTTGTGTTTGGTTTGTCATAATTTGTCGCTCGTTTTAAGTTAATTTGGTATGGGAGCAATTTAGGGTCTGAGTTGAGTCAAGTGTAGCTTGTTCAGTGTGCGTAAGCAGGGGTGCTGCAGGAATGGGCAGCCAGGAGTGGGGCGGACCTGGCATATGCCGCGGGGAAGGCCGACGGCTGAAGAATGATTCAGGGTGAGTCAGTTTATGTGCATGCATCGAGAAAACGTTGTGGTGTTGGGCAGCGATGGTAATGGTGCATGGTGAGACTGACAGGTGCACTGTGGTGTGGCAGCGCTAATGGTTTGTGGAGCGAGAGGCAGGTACGCTGTGGTGTTAGGCAGCGTTGATAAGGGTGTGGGGTGTGAGAGGCAGGTGCGGCGCTGTGGTGATTGGCCTAGCTTTTGTTGGCTCCTTAGAAGCGTTGTTGGTGCGACAAGGTGCGTTGTGGACTGGTTTGGCACAGCGTGGTTTGAAGGTTGTTCGAGTGGTTCAAGACTTGGGCGTTGGCCTTGGAAGTTATGAGTCTAGGTGTGGAGTCCTATGATTCATGTGATACATATGTAACAAGTTGGATGCTCCAACTTGAGGGGGAGTGTTAGAGGAATAGGGTGTTAGTTGAGAGGATCTCTCTTAGCCTTAGGTTTAGGTGTTTGAAATCTATGGCTAGGATTAGCTCTTGTCTTGTATAAATAGCTCTACACTTCCTTGTACATCTACACAAAACATATAGAAATATACAAGTTGAGTTCATTGTTTAACAGAAGAAAATGCATAGGTTTAGAAGGATGAACAATGCTTTGGTATTGTTCATCAACTATCATTAACATAATGAAAGATCAGGCCAAATGGGTGGAGCATGATTCTTGTATCTGAAGGTCACGGGTTTGATTTTTGCCAACACCTTTACCTTTTTGGTTGAGACCGTCGTATGGGGTCTTCCTAGTCCGGTTTACCTCTCCTATGGGGTTTGAGGGCTATTACACAACAGTGGGGCTTACCCCGTGCACATCCTCTGGTAGTGGCTGCGAATTTACCTTATTACCAAGAAAAGATCAGGCCACAAGAAAATGGCTTTGAATACCATATTGAATAAAAAAGGAAAAGAAAAAAAGAGATTGTATGGGTAAAAAGGTTGAAATACAGTGGATATGTGTACTAATATGTATATATACAGGTAGAAAAGAAAAAGACCCTTAACACTGCCCATTGCCCAATCTAGCTTAGTGAGAACAATTAACTAAATGGTTATACAGTAATCATCCAACCATCGGACTACCTTAGTACTTTAGTAACTCAACATTGGATATCTAGAAAACTCAAAAGAAAATAAAAAATGAGATATAAAATCAGTTTTTATTAGGAAATATTAAGTTGTGAGGCAAGAGAAAAAAATGGAAAAGAAGAGAAAATTTTAAGAGCCTTTTCTGAAACATATGGGAGGCAAGTATAAACAAAATTGAATTTACTTATTTTGATCAGTAGACAATGTTCCTCAAATTTCTGATTTGAATATGGGTTATTGGCAATTGGCATTTCTAATAGAAAACTATGTTCTTGGTTTACAGTTTGAGGCTTAGAACTTTTCTCTTGACTCTTTTTCGATTTTGTTATTCTGTTTGTCTCCCTCTATCTTTTTCAAGTATTTTCTCAAAAATTGTTGAAGTTTTCCCTACTTCCCTTTTCCTTGATAGTTCCAGAACTCTAATAAGTAAAAAAAAAACCATTGTATTGGAATCTCATTTTCTTTTGAAAGGGAACTAGTTAAGAAATTCAAATTACATGATTTTGGGAGCTAAAATCAAGGAATTAATGATTGATTGATTATCCTTGATTCATTATGTTTGATTGACGCTTACCTTTTTTTATATTTTCATAGACTATAAATAACACATTCTCTTAGAAGGGAAGTGTGCAGAAAATTATTAGCAATTATCAGCTTTAGCTGAGGGGGGCAGGATTTATTCTTGTTGGGGAGTACAATTTGTTTCTCCTATATTGTCTTTTTTCCTTTCAATACATCTATTTTCTATTGATTTGTTTAAATATATCTCTATCTACTCTTTACTCTATCTTTCCACATAGATTTACAAATTCCAAAGGGGACGTAAGACTGCAATAGCAATTTTTGCTTTGGAAATAACCTGGATTTTAACTCATTGGAGATACCTATGGAAGAGTGAATATGAAAGCTTAAGTACTTTATTATACTATATTTGCATGGTTTGAATTCTATGGAGTATATTTATATAGTATGCCATTCTTCTCCAGTGTTTATTTATCCCAATTGATTTTTTATCTTGGCAACTGATAGGTCCTTTAAATTAGCAGGGACCATCTTCATCTGCCGTTATTCTGAAATTTGAGCTCTTGTATGCGCCTGTGTCGGAGAACAGGTTAGTTCACCTGATATTTTGTACTTTTCCCTCTAATTTTGGTTTCTTGGACTATTTTTTTTCCTGATTTCTTAAAATTGCAATTAAAATTGTAAATTTTCCAGTTGAATAACTTCATCACATGAATTACAGGTGTGATTTGCAGGGCTCATTAGACATATGTCCCACTGCAGTCCATGAATTTCGAATTCCTCCTAAGGCTCTTCTTGGACTCCATTCTTATTGCCCTGTTCATTTTGATGCTTTCCATGCTGTACTCGTTGATGTAAGTGTACACATCTGCCTATTGCGAAGTGGTTTGCACACCTCCTCATCAAACGGGCCAAGGTTTGTATGAGATTTCAATTTCTCAATTGGTTTAATGGGAATTAAAATGATGCCATACATTTGAGTTATCTCTCGTGGTCTTATGTTTTGAGTTCCAACTAATTTGCAAGAATTAAGCTTATGGAAGTAACTTATAGTTTTGGGCTTATACAGCGGTTCTTGCAAGAATAATGTTGCAGTTGAAGACTATGATAAGTCAAAGCAAGTAAGTTCTCTTCTCTAAACTCTGGGTAACAAAAGTTTCCTTTCTGTCAAAACATTGCATTGTTTTAAATTCAAGTTCTATTTGACCTATTGTATTTGTTTAACAGGCAATACTTGTTAAAGGATTTTTGAATGCTCGTGACATACTTCTTGAAGAGCTACAAAAAATCAGCAAGGCTATTAATCAGGCTATCAATGTAAATGATTTTGCTTCTAAACATGAGGTTAAAGAATTGTTAAGTTTCCCCACAGATGCAGATTCAGCAATAGATGCGAATGCAGTTTCAGGACAGGCTCAAAGCAAAAGGCAGCATGTTTCTAAGGTTCTTTCCTCCTGTGGGAGCTAATTGTTCTGCATCCAGTCGGGGTGCCTTATTTTTTCTTGTGTGCTATCTTATATGCTGTTCTGCTGTTGACAGAAACCAAACAACATATCTGAAGAAGTCCTGCATTCTCTACCTACTGAGGAACTGCTCAGCCTGTTTATTTGCTTTGGCAATCAAGTTGTTTACTTATGGGGTGTATTTCAGAAGTTTCACAGGTTTGTTTTCACTGGGTACATCTTGTCTCAAAAACCTTAATATTTCTCTATCATAGGGGTGTGAGTCAAGCTACTTGGACTCGATTCGATGAATATTCAAATTCGTTTCGGTTACAGTTAAGTCGAACTCAAGTTGGAGTAGTTCAAGTTTAACTTTCAAATATATATATATATATATATATATATATATATATATATATTTGAGTACTTACTCTATTACAGTGTAGTATATGTCCATACTTTCTCAACCTATTAAAGCACAAAGAGTCAATGCTCCCACTGGGGTTCAAACCTGTGACCTCCCATTTGGGAGAGCCACAGAGAGAGAGAGAGACAGAACTTGTTCCCAGCAAAAAATTAACAACCAATCTCAATTGTCCATCTAGCCAATTGGCCCTTTTTTATGCTTGATGTGATTGAAAGTTAAAATGGGATGCCCCACTAAGCATACTCAGGGCCCTTTCTCAATTGTTGCAATTCCTTGATGTTAGCTTGCTTTGGTGTTATATTTCTGATTATATGTTACGGAGTATTAGATTATTAGACTCTGGTTGCCAGAAAAGTTTGAAGGCATCATTTTTGAAAAAAATCATTTTGTAAAGTTGAGGATGAGTGGAGTATTTTGAGACAAAAAAGGTCAATACTGAGCAGAGAACTTAAGGTTTTGGGTTGTAAACAATGACATGAATTATTTTTATAATTTGAAGGTAGAAAACTGCACTCTAATGCCATGGTGGAATGCTCTTTTTCCTCTCAGCTTGATAGTAACTAAATGCACATTAGCTTGAAAAGCAGCCAAATTCAAATTTACTAATTTAGTTGGATTACTTCAGTAGTTTTTGGTTCAATTTAGGAGAGCAATATTTGTTATTTCATTTGGGGTTGTGCACACTTTTTTCTCTATTTTGTATTCTAGTACAATTTTCTATCTACTTTGGACATCTGCATACTGTTAAGAGTCCCACATTGAAAATATAAGAGAGAATATAGGCCATGGGTTAGACTAACTAATTGATTGGATTAAGTCTTTTAATGTGGTTTGGCCCATGTGTATTATAGCCCAATTGAGTGACCTTGGCCCAATCTTAGATTATAAGACATACAATGGGTTTTGGCCCTACATTGACTTTTGGAAGGAAAACAGCTGCTTGAAATATACCTGGGAAGGATTATTTAGATAACAAAATTGGTAATACTGATTGTCATTTTTTGAGAGAGAATCAAGAATATCCTATTGATCATAAGGTACTGCAATAGGATTGGTGGGAAATTTTCATATAGCCCTATCACCTGAGTTTATGATTCCTTGCCTTCATGTGATCCATACTTTATATCTATATAAGAAGTATTCCCTTAAAATTTCTCATGGATAGCTGCATTTTCTAGTCAGTTTTACTTTGCATTCTAAAATTAGTTTCTTATTTTTGCCCAGGGCTCACAAAACATCAATTCTGGATTTCCTTAGAGAACAATGGGCTATTGATCGAAGAACAGAATGGTCAATATGGATGATCTATTCTAATGTTGAGATGCCACACCAATACATAAGTAGTGATGTTGATAAATCGTTTTACCTTCGTACTCATGGAAGAGCACGTGTTCTGAAGAAGCTTACTGAAGATGTAATTAAATCAGAACTTTATAGTTCTGTTATGGCCATATTTTTATTACACCGGGATTACACATGAGTCTTTTTAAAATGAGCAGCCTTTTTAGATGTAGATTACACTTAGTCTTGCTTATCTGAATGTTTGCTTTTACTGTGATCAGCCTGCTCATGCTGCAGCTATGCGTGCTGATCTTCACCGGCGGAGTATAGCACAAATGAGAGTGAGTTCTATCTAAAGATACAATGATGCTTTTATTATTTTCACTACTATAGAAACTTGAACCTGTCTTGGTTTATTTCAGATTAATCATTCTTCGATTCAAGACATGCACATATTTGGAGATCCATCACGCATTCCAATTGTGACTGTAGAACGTGTTATAAATGCACCATTGCGCACAACAAGTGGTTTTTCATATTTCATTCATAGGGAGGCAAAGGATACTAACATCGCAGATTCTGGGTTTGGCTCTAAAGCTATAAATAAATTAACTGATGGAAGCCCAAGGCAAAATGCTCGTGTTCTAAAAGTTGTTGTCTTCGTCCATGGATTTCAGGCAATGGATATCATCTTATTGTGCATTACATTTTTGGATTTTGTATTCTTTAACCTGTTTTCTGCAATTTACCACAATTCTTTTTCCCTTAAAACTTCTCAGCTCAAAAGCCTTGAATAAACATCATAATGCCCCTTAGATTTTCAGAGTTTATGCATTGCCTCTTGCGGTTTAGTAATAGGCTAATAACATCCTTATGATTCAAATGGATGCTGATTCCAACCTTTCTTTAACAAGTCATAACACTGTCACATGTTTTAACTTGTAATTTCAAAAAATTTTATATCTATTTTGAGTATTTGTGTTTGTTCCATGCTCATTGGTATCTAGGATGATCAAGTTACCAAAGGTGGAAAATTAACACATAGCAAGAAGGAAAAAAAAAAAAAAAAAAGAAAAAGGAAAAATAAGAGGCTTAAGAAACCACAGAGGGGTTATTTTCCCTTAAAACTAACACCATTTAGTTAGAGACCTAGATTGCTTGTAAATGTCAAGTTGTTTTCTCAGTTCAAGTTCAGATTCATCACTTAATGAATCAATCATATTAGTATAATTGATTAGTTTCACTTTAATATTTCATTATCATGCTTTTACAAAAAATTAGAGAAGTTTTAATGGCATATTTTCAAAACCTTTAATCCATTGTGGTTATCTCTTAGCATCATTAACTGCACAGCTGAGAAGGGAATTATTGGTCTTATGCAATCTGCTCTTAGGAATAAAACATGTAATTACAGCTCCCTAATGTTAATATGCAAATTAGTTGATTGATAGGTATTAGTCTCTGCATTGTAAATTGTAGTTCAATACCATGTTATGCTGCAGACCGAACTGTTGAGAATTGAATTATAGTTCTCTAAATGTTCTGCTTGTAGACCTGTTTTTGTATGCTTAGGTGATCCTTTTCTGACCATGAGCAATTCAACTTGTGCAGGGACATCATTTAGACTTACGGCTCATAAGGAATCAGTGGCTTTTGATAGATCCTAAGACAGAGTTTCTTATGTCAGAGGTCAATGAAGAGAAGACCTCTAGCGACTTCAGGGAAATGGGATTTAGGTTGGCTCAGGAGGTAACTTCTTTCATTAGAAAGAAGATGGACAAGGCAACCAAATCTGGAAATCTAAAAAGCATTAAACTTAGCTTTGTCGGACATTCCATTGGAAATATCATATTAAGAACTGCATTAACAGGTATATATTCCCCACAGTTTTAGATGCCTCCTTCAATCAACTAGAAACATTTCTAAGTTCATTTCTACTTTTGCAGAGAATGTAATTGAACCTTATCTCAGATATCTGTATACATATGTTTCTGTTTCTGGCCCACATCTTGGTTACTTGTATAGTTCAAATTCTTTATTCAATTCTGGCCTGTGGCTTTTGAAGAAGCTCAAGAGCACGCAGTGTATCCATCAACTTACCTTTACAGATGACCCTGATTTGAAAAATACATTCTTATACAAGCTTAGCAAGGTACCAATGTTTTTTTTTTTTTTTTTTTTTTTTTTTTTTTTTTTTAAAGATGATATTATACCTTGGCCACTTTTAAGTCCTCTATTTTACTAAAAAAAATCGATGACATGTGGCTACTACTTGTTATTGATCATTTCAGTTTTCCAAGCTAGTAAAAACCAAATATACTAGGCTTGATATCTCCATCAGAGAGAAAATCTGATGGTGTTGCTGTACATTTTGTGTAATTTTTGAGAAAATGTAATAGTTCCTGTTTCATTGGTCAGCTACTCAGCTTCTGATTCACTTTCTGTCTTCCTCAGCAAAAAACCTTGGAGAAATTCAGGAACATTGTTCTGTTGTCTTCACCACAGGTATTTTATCCAATCTATGCTATGATTTGAACCAACTTTAGGTTCTTAGAAATGAAACTAATTATGCTCTGGCATGAGAACTAGGAAGATGTTAATGATTGGCAATCATAAGGGCTTGACCTTTTTATATATTTTGGTATTTTATTTTGATGCTGTACATGGTCAATACAATATATTCTTTAGATATTGAATATCCGTTTGTATTTGAAATAATTTGGTGTTAATTTAATTTCATGCTCTAATCCTGTAGTAGCAGTACCGTGACATGCAAAATGCAAGTATTATATATCCCACAGAAATCTCATGGTTGCGTATTTAATTTTCTTTGAATTGAATTTCCTGATCTCCAGTTAACCTCTTTATCTGATATTTCACACAACTTGTAAGAATGCTTGCAAGATTCTTGCGATTGCCATGCATGTGCAGTCTGAATGAGATTTTGTGTTTTTGTTACTTGGGTTATATCAAAGTGGATAAATCCTGGCTAACTAGTTTTATAGAAGAGGTTGGGATTTTCTTTCTAAGGTTGCATGTTGTTCTACGATGTGGAGGTGTAGTTATGTGTTGGATACTGTTGCGTTACCCTCTAGAGCGGAATGTAGAGGAAACTAACAATAGGAGAATCACCCTAGTCTCTCACGAATTCAAAGATAGATTACCTATGGAAGGCGCAAGAACTTGTCCTAACAGTAGGGTGCTTTAACAAGATTTTAGTTTATGAGATCTAGAAACTCATGATAATTCTCAAAGAGGGAAAGACAAAAAACTTCTAGAATTAAGGGTAAGGAGTTCTAGAACTAACTAATTACTAAAAGTGTAATCTAAATAAAATATGAAAATATAATAAAAGAACTTGAAAAATAAAATTTTAATTTCATGCAAGACCTCCCCTTATTAAGGAACTCCGAATTTGAGTAGAGAAAACATCACTTTCCTTCTAGGAGACTAACTGTGCACAACCAGTAACTTTGAGCCCATTTTCAACCATGATGCAAAATTGCAAACTGAATATCATCATTCTCGAAACATGAAAGTTGTAGTTCTTTCTCTTAGCTTTCTACAGAATCTTGAATCGCTCAATCCAACTTCGAATGAGTAAGATATGCTCAAATTACTGAAATGTGTCAAGGCTGTCCAAAAGTTACGAATTTGGATCACTTGATTGCCATTTAATATTTGAGCCTCATTTGGACTCCTTGAACGATGCAATTAGTTTATTCTTGGAACAAAAAGTATCCATCTTGCCAATATATGAATTTTAACCAAATTGGGCTATGTTTGGCTTGGTCCATATCTTCAGGACTTCAGGTACATAAGAGTTTGAGTGTACTTCTTGAATTTTTAGTTTTATTTTTTAAATAACTCTTTAGCTTAATGGAAATAAACTTTTTGAAGTTTAAGGGATGAAAATAGTTCTGTAAATGCTCTGTAACACAATAAAAATAAAATATGGTAAAGAGGAAAAATTGTCATGGTCTTTAGCACCTTTCCATAACTGCATAACAATTACAATGGTTTTCTGTAGCTTTTTATATTTTTTAATTAGACCTAGTTAATATTAATTCAGTCCAGGGTAAAATGTTACTAGTGCATGCCTCTCTACTTAAGGTTTAATATGAGAATCTCTGGATTCTAAAATCAACAGTTGATAAGAAAAGGTCAGACCCACCCCAAGCAAATGTTCAGAAATGGGGTTGTTGAATGTGAATATTTCTTGAATATACAATTGAAACATGTTGTCCATAAACAAGATCTGCTATGGAAGAATGAAGTGTTATTATCTGACTGTTCAATTGTCACTTTTGATTTTCTGAAGTTCTCATGCTCAATACTATGCTCAAGACATCCAAAGTCTGAAAGAAAGTAGCAAAAATTATTTTAATGCATTTAGCCTGATTTTCATGTTTTCTGTTGTGCTTCAGGACGGTTACGTTCCATATCACTCTGCTAGGATTGAGATGTGCCTAGCATCTTCAGGGGACAAGTCAAAGAAGGGAATTATATTCCTGGAGATGCTCAACAATTGCATGGACCAGATACGTGCCCCGTCATTTGACCATCGAGTTTTCATGCGATGCGATGTTTGTTTTGATACAACATTGCAAGGGAAGAAGAGCTTGAACACAATGATTGGGAGGGCAGCTCATATCGAGTTCCTGGAATCTGATGCTTTTGCTAAATTTATACTGTGGTCATTCCCGGAGTTATTCTATTAAGGCCACTTCAATAGGGTGATATACTGATAAATTCCTGCCTAAGTGCCCTATACTGTCCATAGCTGCTTCCAAACCTCTTATTGACTCGAGGACTCGAGCTACCCAGAGTTCTTGATCCCGGGATCATATTAACTGTGCAGGGACACGAAGGCATCGGGTTGCTTACTGTTCTGCAGCATGCCGGCATTCCAATCAGCAAACTGATTACTTCAGTGCTTTTACCCCAAGATCAAAGACCCAGAAATGTTCTCAGATTCAGAATAGTTTTGTGAAACCTGGCATGATGGTGGGTTCAGGTCTATAGATTCTGCAGCTTTTGTGCAGTGTAAATCATATTCATCACAAAAAATAACTGTTGCATTTGAAGTGCTTGGGAACCTAAAAATTTGTGGGCTTATGTTATTCTCAGTAAACCTAGTCATTACAACATCAAAATTCAGATTAGTCCTTGTAATATAAGATTTATTCTTTTGTATGTATATTATTCTTTTGTTGTTGAAGTTTTATTTATTTATACCCGATAGGCGATGTACATACATGTAAGATCAAATAAGAACATGGTCCTCCTGTAAAAAGTGAGGACTGATTTTAGCCGTTCATCAGAGTTATAAATGATTAGTAGAGTTCATTTTATAATTATTGTGAACTAGGGTTTGGGTGTTAACACTTTTATGAGGCAAACCCTTCTCTTCTCATCACTTCACTTGTAATTGTGAGTATCATTATCAACTTTTATTTTGTCAAAGTACTTTTGAAGTTTCTAAACTATATGATTTTGTGCAATTTAATACTATAATAACAATTAATACCTCCAACAAGGTTGTGAACACTTAATCTCCAATTCAAATGCCATTTTTTAATCTTACCCTACTAAGCAGCCAACTTGTCATCATTTTGCAAAAGTTAATTAAAGGCCATCTTTTTTTTTTTTTCTTGAAAGTTACTGGCTCTATTACATTGTAGTATCTGTTCATATACTTTCTCAACCTACTGAAACACAAAGAACCAATAACACCTCCACTGAGGCTCGAACTTATAATCTTCCAAATGGAAGTCCAACCCGGGTACCATTAGACCACATAGTCCTGGTAATTAAAGGCCATCTAATTCTGAGAAATATATAGAATTTTATTTACATTACGAAAATAAAATTTTATACAAATTAAAATAAACTTATATTTAAAAAATAATTTATATCAATGAAGGAGTAATAAAAAAATTTAAAATTTTGATATATTCCTAGCTATAATTTTTTAATAACATATTTAGTTTCTATTTTAAAATACATTTGTTTAAAAAGCTCATTTAAATATGTTAATTGTTAAAAAATATTATATATACGAATAAATTGAAAATTTACAATTTTAATCGTTATGATGATTTTTTTTTTCCCATTAATATCAAATGATTTTTTAATACGTATGGAGTGGTGTTACTCTCTCACAAAGGTTCCTTTATAGCGGCGACGAGTGGCAAGCTACCCGGCGCTTTCTCACCCATTATGGCGAAGGCACTGGCTTGCAAGGAGGCTCTATCTTGGCTCAGAGTACGGAATGTGTTAGTGGTGGATCTTCTTACGGATTGCTCAGAATTGCGGAATGCCTTACACTCAGACTCTACGGTCATCTTGTCCTATGTTGGGGTTATTGTGGACCAATGTAGGACATGTATATCGTTATTGGCTCATTGTTCTTTGCATTATATTTCCAGAACATTTAACTTGCATGCTCATACTTTAGCTTCGTTAGCGTTTGATCAGGATCATTCTATGTACTGAGACTCTGTTCCTTCGGACTCTATTGCTGCGTTCATTCATTAATATACCGTTATTATTTGCTTTCAAAAAAAAGATTTTTTAAAGTTTAAGTTTATACTTTTGCTATACTCAGAAGAATGAAAGGATCAAATTGGTCATTAACTCAACTTTTTTACTTTATACTAGATTACAACTAGTTTTTTTTTTTTTTTTTTTTTTTTAATAAATATTTTTGAATTAATCACCTTTTTGTCCCTTAATTGTATTCCAACTGTCAATTTAGTCCCTAGTTTTCAATTTCAACTAATTTCATTCTCGAATTGCTTAAACTTTCATCAATTAAACACTTTCAGGGACCAAAATGGCGATTTCTATATTTTTGAAATTTAGTCAATTTGGTCCCTGCAATGGTTTAATTAACAAAATTTTAAACAATTCGATAATCAAATTGGTTGAAATTGAAAACTATTAACAACATTAACAGTTGAAAAATAATTGAGGGACCAAAATGTTGATTTCTCTTGAAAAAAAAAAACTATTTTTGAATTAATTTTGTCTAGCAAAAACCCTTCAAGTTTTTGCGAGAAACCCACAGTTTTTACTTTTTAGGTCTTTACCATCGGGTCAATATTACATTTTTTGCAAGTAAAAATTTAAAAAGTAATAAATATTTTGTAAGAAAGGACTCGATTAATATTACCTTTTTTCTTTTTAATGATGTGGCATCTTCTCTTTCACCGTTGGTATAGAAAACTACGCACTTAAAACTTTAGGCTGACTCACCTTAAGTTTCAACAACTGACGCACCTTAAGAACATAAATCACGCACCTTAAGAAGGAAAATCAGGTACCTTAAGAAGAAAAATCACGCACCTAAAGCTTTGGATCGACGTATTTAAGTTTTCAACACCTGATGCACCTTAAGTCACACAGTTCAAAAATCACTCACCTTAAGCACAAAAACTAAGCACCTTAAGAAGGAAAATCACGCACCTTAAATTTGACCTAGATACAAAAAGACCAAATTGCCACCGCACGTTTTTTTAACCACTGTTAATCCTGGACATTGATTTCGGCAAGATCAATAACTCAGATTTAACCGCACAACCGCATGGAAACTGAATTATATATAGAATTCAGTTATCATGCAATTGAGTGTCTCCCGTGCGGTTAAATCTAAACCATTAATCTTGCTTAAATTAACATCCAGGATTATCAAAATTATTTTAAAAAATGCGGTGGCAATTTGATAATTTTTGCATCTAGATCAAATTTAAGGTACGTGGTTTTCCTTCTTAAGGTGCGTGATTTTTGTGCTTAAGGTGCGTGAGTTTTGTGCTTAAGATGAGTGACTTGTGTGCTTAATGTGAGTAGTTGTGAAACTTAAGGTGCATGGTTTTCTTTCTTAAGGTGTGTGGTTTTTGTGCTTAAGGTGCGTGGGTTTTGTGCTTATTAATGTGAGTAGTTGTTGAAACTTAAGGTGCGTGATTTTCTTTCTTAAGGTGCGTTGTTTTCCTTCTTAAGATGCGTGATTTGTGTGTGCTTAAGGTGCGTCAGTTGTGTGAAACTTAAGGTGAGCCATTTTAAAACCTTAGGTGCGTGGTTTGTGTTCTTAAGGTGCTTTGTTGTGTGCTTAAGGTGCGTGATTTGTGTACTTAGGTGCGTGATTTGTGTTCTTAAGGTGCTTTGTTTGTGTGCTTAAGGTGTGTGGTTTGTGTACTTAAGGTGCAACATTTTAATGCTTAATGTGTATCAACCGCACAACCGTACGAGAAGCTATACCTGAACCCTTCCATATATATATATATATATATATATATATATATATATATATATATATATATATATATATATATATATATATTGATAGTGTTAATTGCCACGTAGTGCGGTAATTAAGTAAATAAGAGACCAATTAAAGCAAATAAATAACTCTTATTGATCAATGAAGTCCCTAAGTACAATCTACTTGGTTGCTCTGAGTACCGACTGACTGCGGTCGGGATTCTCTAACAACAACCTATCGATCGTCCAAAAGTCCCTCACACTGTCGCTATCGCGGGTATTTATAGCCGCGGAGCCGGAGACACAAATCCGGCCATTCGGCATGCTTCCCACGTAGCCACCACGTGTCGTCGTCCCGGATGCCCTGCCTGTCAACGCGTGGAGCCGCCACGTGTCCCTCGTCAGCTCTCTCGCCAAAGGGCTACCGCTCAGTGGTCGACACTGTCACTCGGGTAACTCCTGGTCGGATCCCGACCGGGTCTTTCACAAGAAACCCGACCTGTTACCTGCAAAGACAAGAAGAAAAGGACGAAGGCACACCGGTCGGGGTAAAGCTATGTCGGTCGGGATATTCCCTACCAAAAGCCCCCCAGCCCGGGCCTTTTTTACCGTCCGGGAGAAAACGGGACGGGATGAAGAAGCCCAACCGTCGGCCGCCAAACCGACCGGCCAGCTGTCATTCCCCCTCTCGCCACGTGTCGGCGACTGCCGGCCTCTGCGACTGCAACGGTCGCCTCGGAATCAGCGCGGGTCACGTCACGCAAGTGGGTTGGTTTCCCGCCCAAACGCTCTCTTATAAATAGGCCCTTGAGGCCTTCATTTGAACTTTCCTCAATCTTCTGATCCAATCGGCACCCTCAGAGAGTCCCGAACGAGCTCCTCAGCAGATCAACCGAGCAACTCATCTTCAAACTTCTTCAAAGTCTCCCTGATCGGTAAACTCTCTACTTCCTTGCTTTGTTTTTACTTTAAGCTTTGCATAGCAGTAGGATAGGACTAACTCTGACCCAACGTCTCGAGCCCTATACTAACCCCGACCGACCTTTAGGTAGAAAAGGATGTCGGACTCGAACAGGCAGAATGTCTCGATCGCAGACTACGACGACGAGGTCGAGCAGATTAGCGAGGAGGTGGACATCATGTCCTATTCTCCGGAGGTCGTACAACGACCGCAGCAAATCCCCGAGCGAGCCCCCGAGCGAGAAAGGTCGTCGAGCTCGTCTGGGACGTCGGGGTCGAGCTCCAGCGGGTCGGGGAGCTCGAGCGAGGAGAGCGGGAAAACGTCCACGAGCGGACGGGATTCCCCGATCGAAGGCGTTAGGGAAATGCCTACGAGGGTAATAGGGGATTACCCTCAGGTTGGGCCCGAAGGGGGCGACCGGGCAGATGACGCAGAGCCGGTCGAAGAGGACCCGGCCGAGCCAGCGGCGCCAGGCGGAGACGGGTTCGAGTTTCTCAACAGCGAGAGCGTCGAGACCCAGATGAGCAAACTAACCAAGGGCGAAGCAGCAAAAATCGCCGCAACTCTCGCCGGTCGGGTCGAGTTTGACACAAGCCGGCAGCTCGGGAATATCATCGAGCGGCACCGGGGAAAGTGGCTCGGGATGCACTACGATTTCCTCATGGCCTCGATCACTTCCCCTTCTCGGGCCTCCTCACTGCGTTCCTGGGTTACTACCAGGTGGTGCCCGGGCAGATTTGCCCGAACGCGCACCGGATGATTGCATGCTTCCCGTAGATATGCGGTCGACACAACCTGGCCTGCACCATGGAGCTCTTCAACTTCATCTACCAGGTGAAAGTGTTGGCGGCCACATACGGGGCCGGGTATCTGATGACCCAATCCCGGGCGGACATGTGCTCGATTGAAGGTCTGCCCGGGAACAATCGGGGATGGAAAAACCGGGTGTTCTCCGTGAAGTACGAGCCGTGGATCCTCCCGGTCGAGAGGGTCTGGAGTCAGCG